GAGTGAAATGTCACAACTATAAAATAATATAATATAATATATTGTTCAAAATATACAATATATTTCAACACTCTTTTTTCATTAAAAACAATGTCCTACCACACACACATCACGACACATTTTGACAGACTGAATGGTAATGATGGCAGCCCATTATTACAAAAGATTGTAAAGTTATCCTAAACAAGATATCGTAAGCCTTTGTTTGCAAAGCTTAAGATAGTTGGAGGCGTTTAATTTTTTCATTGCTCTGTGACATTGTTTGCCTGCTGTCTTTTGGTTGTTAATTACTTGTCCTTCATCCACTGACTCAAATATCTACGTACACATTTCTTGGTGTGTTTGTTTTATCCACAAGTCACAGCAGACCTCTTGCTGCACCTGCATTTGCCACCAGCATTCCACACACTGTCGTTATTCTCCCATATCTCCAATAACCATGGCACTTACAGTACTATAAGATTTCAGAATTCAGACTGGCATGAATCAGAGACATCCCTCGTTAACAAATCGCTTTCAATATAACTTCATATTCACCCCTCTTGGGCTCTAAGTGCCCGCTTTAGAAATCCAGAGTGAATCCAGCCTTACACTATAAAATAAACTTCTCTAGATCTCCATCTCCAGTCATAAAACAAGGACTTGACATTGAAATAATCTGTATGGAAGATCGATATGTAAAAGTCAAAAATTCACTCTACCTCACTCCAATATGATAAGGCATGTAACAGGTTTTGTGTGTGGTAAGGATTTGTATGCCACAGTAACAACTGCAACATCTTGTTGCAAAACCAGTCAACACAGATTTCTCAAACAGGCTCAGCAACTGAGGCCAAAGTTGCTGAACGTGGATGGCCTGAATGCAGCTTTAAAAAAAACATATTGTCACTTGGTATGCCAATAGAAACATCAGTATATTACCTCTCCAAGAGCTTCATAGCGTTTCTGGTTCCAGCGGTGGAGATCCTCTCTGGCATTGAACACAAAGGGTTTACCCGTTTTTATATGTCTGAGCTGGCCATCTGTGGGAGAAAGATACAATTAAAGACTAAAAAACACATCTGCAATGACAACAGATACCTGTATACGTGTGTTTGTTTGTGTAAGTTAAACAGGCGTATTACGACCTCTGACGGCACATGCCAGATTAAGCAAACTAAGCTTGACTCCTTAGTTTTTTTNGAGAGAGAGAGAGAGAGAGAGAGAGAGAGAGAGAGAGAGAGAGAGAGCGCTTTCTAATTCAGCCATCTGGCTAGCTTTACTTCATTATAATATTCTGACTGTGTGTGTGTGTGTGTGTTTACAAATTTGTGACTGCCTTCCATTCGACAGATGCAGACAGAGAAGAGAAGAATCCTCATTTATTAACAGCTTAATAGAGCTCCATCTGGGCCAGACCCTATGCTTGTCTTCTATCAGAGAGATTCATCACCGAATCACAGGAATTAGACTACAACTGACACCTACACAGACTGAGGTGACCCTGCTGCACCGAGCAACACCGCACAGATAGCCTGCACTGTATTACAGCTGTAATACAGCCATTACAATGACAGCCGGAGCCGAGGATGGAAAATGTTACTAATACGAGTAGTCTGTGGGTTTTTCTCGTCTCAGTTTTGCCTTGTGTTTGAATACAAACAGAACGCAACAAAGAATATATTAGATCAATACAACAATTTTACAAACTGGGAATAACAAGGAAGAAGATCTTCTACTAGTGCTTAACCTCTTTATAGACAGACAACCACTGATGCCCTTTCTTAGGCTGTAGCCGAACCTTTAGATGAAACAGAGAATCATAAAAAGGCATCAGTAAGTGAGCTGTCTCTGGAGGGAAAAGGGAAAAATAGTTACATCCCTCAAATATCCCATGGAAAACTTTAGTCCAGACATTAAACAATCAGGTGTTCCCTGCATTCAAAGGTTTTCATGCTAGAGTTTATGGTTCATTCTACTCCTGGATGTTTGCACTGATTCAACACACTGTACTTGAACAGGACATTAAGACAGTTCAATCTGAGTATTTTATTGACCTTCCTATCCAGTTTCACTCAGCATGCCTTTTGCTCATCCTTATAACTCATTTCCTAAATTTCAATCAATGACTTCCTACAACTCTACGAAAGTTGTAAGCTCTTTCTATGCTGCCACTATTTTTATGCGTGTCTTTCTGTCAAACATATGTGCTATACATTATGTGTGCCTCTGTGTTTATCCATGCACAATACAGTCATTCTGCCAAGTCAGCTTCTAACAAATAACCCACTGTTCTCCTTGTCTCTCTTTCCTCCTTTCTCTCTTTAATGGGTTTAGTGGCTTTCACATTTCCTATAAGCTATAAGTTCCTTTCATCGTGGAGTAACCTCATGTCTTTCCATCTCAATTTCTTTTCATTTAAGTTTGTTTAAAGATTTTTATTGCATTACTAGTATAAACACACTGAAACTCTGCAATCTAATTTTATGGTTAATAGTTTTTCTCAGGTGTTGAACTGCAGCTTAAGCATGTCTTTACCCTCATATGTACATAAATATGGCCAGTTGTCCCCCAACAAAGTGCAGCATCTCAGATATACCATCTGCAGATCTCTCTATATCATACTATGAATATATGGCAAAACTTATTTTAATTATTTTTTTGTGATGAAAAATGATTCACTGCTCCTGCGCTCAACCCAGATTTTGTTCCTATCTCTTTCTTTTGCTTGGAGGCCATCACACCAACATCCTCGTTCTCCCTCTTTCTATCTGTCCCTCCATTCAGACGAGGCTGAAGTGCAAATTGGACATCTGGTGCTGTGATGTGTCTGACAATACAGCCGCCACCCTCCCAGCCCCCTCGCAAACGTACAGACACACAAAGACGTGCGCACACACACACAGTCCTCCACGCAAAATACATAACCGTGATGATAGAGAGACACTAAAAGGAAGAAAGGAGGGAGGGATGGACAGAGGTATGGAAGGAAGGGAGGGAGAGAGAGGAATGTGATTGAACATTAGGGGGCAATGATGATGCCATTCTATTCACACTGCCAGGGGCAAACACATGCACCCATGTCCTTGTGCCATCTCACACAGCTCTCGGGCTGAATGTAGCTAGTTCTCAGACCGTCTCAGGTGGCAGGCTGATAGAGGACATTACGGTGTGTTGTGCTGTGGTGTTGGTCCATAACAGACCTATCTGCATAGAGACTTATTCCACATTTACCCTCATGACATCTGAAAAACTCCCTCATCTTGCCTGACATAAAGAAATGAAGGAGACTGATGAGAGAGAAGACTAGACAGACCAACAATGGCATACAGTGAATAATCCGAGCAGAAACACATCTGCATGTATCGGATAAACAGTTGCAGAAATAAGAATGCAGGTATGCCTGTGTGACACACACCCTTAAACCCATAAAGAGGCTGACTAAGCAGCATAACCTACTTTTACAACCAAAGGCATACAATTCAGTAGTTGTGTCTATTTATAATGGGGCATATTTCTTACCAGCAAAAACAATGCATTTGTACTTGCAAAGCTGTGTGAGAGAGGCACAGTATTCATTTTCTTGAATCATCTGTGGCCTAAAAACAACAGACAGATAATATTGCTTATTCAGGTAGTGCTCCTTTCTTCTCAGCCAGTTAATCTCCAGCAGCACAACTCATACAGTATTTGTTCTCATTACACAAGCTCGTATCAACAGGGATTGACACCGTTTCCTTTTTCATTCTCTAAAGAAGATGCTTCTGTCAATTTTTTAATCACGGGATGAATAAAATTTGCATACATCTTGCTTGATGATTATTTGTTTCCTCCAAATGTTTGGCCCCCCTCAGATGCCTGAGTTCAGTTAGTTTAAATGTCTGTGTGTTCTTTCAGGGCCTCTGCTTTCTTGCTACCAAATGTTTGTTTCTACATCCTTTTTAGATGCTGGTAGATAGTGTCTGAGCAGGCACAAGAAAAGAGGAGAAAAAAGCCTTCACAGAAGGCTGGCTCTCAAAGGAGCTACTGTATACCTGCATTGGAAATAATAAAAACACCCAGGTAATCCCACAAACGGGTCTATCACTTTGCTTTGAACTTCAAAGAATGCACACAACAATTAAAAGCAACATAGTAGGGGATGCAAATAAAAAAAGCTGATTACAAAAGAACATTTGTCTCATTATCTTAATGCATATTGCATGTGGTGGAACTGTGGGAGTGTATTAGAGGTGAACTTCAGGATGGTGCATGTTTGGGTGTAAGGTGACACAGATGGATGAACACAAAACTTCATGAGAGCATCAAGAACCTTCACAAAAAAAATACGTCGGCAGGATGTGAAAACCATATGTATTTTGCGGCATGAAAATGTTTAACCGAAAGCTCATATTCAGTGTACACTACTGGAAAAAACACCGGTCTTACTTCACATGCAACTCGTGATTGCTAGAATAATGACTTAATTTTTCTAATGACTTTTCTTCAGAAAGTTAGAAAGTGCTGAACAAAGGATGTGTGGGAGTTAAAATTAGGCAATACTAGCAACACATATTACAAAAAGACAGATAAAATATGTGACAAACTTAATAGCAAAACAAAGCATACAAGTCAATGAAAAGCAGTTTTAAAAGTGTGTTGCTTGCTGATGTTTAAAAGAATAAACAGAGTGTATCTGAGCGGATTATGAATTATAACGTTTAGGAGCATAAACAGCAAAAACACTGTCCACTTTTGTTGAAAATCTTAACAATTGTGGGAAGAGCTTTCTCTGCCGACCAAAGAGTGCATCCCAAATGTAACGATATACAGATGGGTAACACTTTTTTTCCCCTGTTTTTACAATTAAGTGATCCAGTGCTGCGTTAGGCATTGGGGGGTATTTTGGTGGCATGCTTTTGGTCCACTTGTTCCCTTAGAGAGAAGGTTCACCGCAAATCAGTTTGTTCTGCGTGACCACCTTTATGCAATGATGAATGGGAGTGGTCTCTTCCAGGATGACAGTGGCCCATCTATAGTGCACCAGTGGTCTCTGAATGCGTTGATGAATATAAAAAATGGTGTCAATAACGTGCTATAGTCACAAGATCTCCACCCAACTGGACACTTATGGGAGATTTTGCATTGACGAGTAAAACAGTGTCACCACCTTGAGAACACAAAATAAGGCAATATCTTTTGGAAGAATGGTATTCATCCCTCCAGACTTGCAGCGACTTGGAGAATTAATGCTTGTGCACATTAAAGCTGGTGGTACGTGGTGGTCCAACACCTTATAAAAACACTTAGTTCGCTTTTCCTGAAATTTGTCACCTGTCTGTACCTTGGAGCCATTCAAGCCATTCCATTCCAAGCTTTACTGATTAATAAATTATGTTACTGCATTCTAAAAGCAAATGTGAAGAGATGCTAAAATAGGTGTTATGTGTTCTTTTTCTGTATTTCCAGTCAAAAATTGAGTTGTTACATTTTAGAACAGATGATTTCATGTTTTTTTTTTTGGTTTTTTTTAACTGACTGTAGTGTAGAGAGACTAACCATGGTCCAGATGGAATAAAAGCTTGAATTACTTTTTCCAGGTCAGTAGGCGGAAATATAAAGCTTTATTTTAGAGATGGTTCTCATTAATCAATTTAGTCCATAAGAAGTCTTTTTTTTTGCATCCTCATTAAGCTGACAGAAGTTGCAAGACATCTTGGGTAAATGTCAAAAAAGCAGGTTCCAAGATGATCAAAGCAACAGAGATCAGCAAGGCTGACAGAAAGGTATAATTATGTCTCATCGTCATAGAAATGAATTTCTAATTATTTGGACTAGTCTCGTCAGAATAGGGGGCTGCAAGGTGGAGCAGTGGTTAGCACTGTTGCCTCGCAGCAAGAAGGTCGCC